GGGAGAGGAAGGAGGGAGAGAGGGAGAGAGGGAGGGATCAGGACGAGAGAGTGGTTAGAGCGTTAGTGCGACGCAGCGAGGGAGAGGAAGGAGGGAGAGAGGGAGAGAGGGAGGGATCAGGACGAGAGAGTGGTCAGAGCGTTAGTGCGACGCAGCGAGGGAGAGGAAGGAGGGAGAGAGGGAGGAAGGGAGGGATCAGGACGAGAGAGTGGTCAGAGAGTTAGTGCGATGCAGCAAGGGAGAGGAAGGAGGGAGAGAGGGAGGGAGATAGAGAGGGAGGGAGGGAAAGATCAAGACGAGAGAGTGGTCAGAGCGTTAGTGCGACGCAGCGAGGGAAAGGAAGGAGGGAAAGAGGGAGGGAGGGAGGGATCAGGACGAGAGAGTGGTCAGAGCGTTAGTGCGACGCAGCGAGGGAGAGGAAGGAGGGAGAGAGGGAGGGAGGGAGGGATCAGGACGAGAGAGTGGTCAGAGCGTTATTGCGATGCAGCGAGGGAGAGGAAGGAGGGAGAGAGGGAGAGAGGGAGGGATCAGGATGAGAGAGTGGTCAGAGAGTTAGTGGTCACCTCCGTAGAGCAGCCCCGTCACCTCTAGCAATCCTTCCCTAAGCCCACCCGACCACTCCCCCTCCTCTGCTTGCACACGCTCCCTACTATAGAAGCCTTTACCCTTAACCCCCACCCCTCCACCCACTCCACCCTTACCCCTCCTCTGCTCACACCTTCCCTTTTCTAGAAAGCTTTCCGCAACCACCTCATCCTCCCCCAACCCCCTACCTCCTCCCTCCTCCTCCTCTGCCTGCCCCCTTTCTCCTATAGCGACCTTCCCCCAACCACCGTACCTCCTCTCCTCTCTTCTGTGAGGACCCTCCCTTCTCTAGCAACCCTCCCCCATAACCCCCACCTCTCCCCTCCTCTCCCCTCCTCTCACGCACCCTTCCTCCTCTAGCAGCCCTCTCTCAACCACCTACCTTCTCCCCTCCTCCCACGCACCCTTCCTCCTCTAACAGCCCTCTCTCAACCACCTACCTTCTCCCCTCCTCCCACGCACCCTTCCTCCTCTAGCAGCCCTCTCTCAACCACCTACCTTCTCCCCTCCTCCCTCCTCACCCCTCCCTCCCGCGCCGCTCTCACCTGTGAGCGCGGCAGAGTGCTCAGCGCCCCCTGCCAGCGCGGTGATGAGGGCGCCACGCAGAGCGGTGATCTGGGTCGGAGCGTCGCGGTCCGCCGTGTCGCCGACGCCTAGCTGTCCGTCGCCATTCGCTCCGAACGCGTGCACGACGCCATTATCTGCGTGCCGCCGCAGCCGCCAAACAAAAGAGCATTCGACGTTATTTCGGGGGCTGTAATTTTCTCTCTGTTTCTCTTGTTAACGATTCGTATCAAGAGCATACTAAGTATTAAGTATACAGAGAGCGTCCATACAAGAACGAATTAAGTATTAAGTATATACAAAGAGCGTCCATACAAGAGCGAATTAAATATTAAGTATACAGAGAGTGTCCATACAAGAGCGAATTAAGTATGAAGTATACAAAAAGCGATCATACAAGAGCGAATTAAGTATTAAGTATACAGAGAGCGTACATATAAGAGTGTATTAAGTATACAATCTTGTTGGTATGTGATTCTCTCTCTTCGTTTTTTCTTTCGTTAAAATGCATCATAGTTGGGTCAATATATGAAAAATAATGGCCAAACACCCAAAAAATTTACACAAAAGGTTTTTTTGCTTTAGTCAAATCAGTGAGTCACAAATTAAATCAAACCCGTACAGAACGTTGACTACTATAGTTTGACTACAGTCGAACCTGAGCAGAAAGGCCACTTGATCGAAACGTCATAACTGGCCTTTACAGACAGGTAGGCAATCCACCGAGTCGCGCCGCCGGATTTCACCGCACAACCAATAACCATCGCCGCAGTCGTCGATTTTAACGTGAAAACGCGCGAGCGCCGCAGAGGAGATTAATTCATTCGCTTTGCTTCCGCTAATCGCATTTATTAATTAACCGTCCGGCGATCAAAGAGAAAGAAGTTCCGCCACAATTCGATGATCGCGATTCGTCAGGGAGAGCTGCGAGGTTGCCACGGCGACGCGCCGAACTCTCGAGAGAGCGCACGACGCTGGGTCGCTCACGATTAGATGCTCGTTAGTGGATCGCTCGTTAGGGTTAGGCTACCCCCGGGTTTACCCCTCGGGTGCCACGGTGTTAGGCTACCCGGGGGGTTCCAGGAACCGCTAATTGCGTTGATCGATGGGAGTGTCACCGTTTTCGTCTCGATTAAATTAATTACTGGCGGAAGTGGAGAGGGGGAGGGGGAAGGAGGAGGGAGGGGAGGAGAGAGGAGAGAGGGGGAGGGGGAAGGAAGAGGGAGGGGAACGAGGGTGGTGGATGAGGGATGAAGGTGGTGGGAAGGGAAGGGGGATAGGAGGGGGAGGGAGGGTGAATAAGAGAAGGGAGGGGATACGAGGGAGAAGGAGAGTACCGGAAGGGGAGGAAAAGGGATGGACAGGGGAGTGATGGAAGAAGGAAGGTAGAAAGGGAGGGAAGAAGGAAGGACAAAAAAGGAGGGAGGCAGGGAGAAAGGGGAACGAGAGAAAGAGGGAGGGAGAGAGGAAGGGAAGAAGGAATGAAGAGAGGAAGGGAAGAAGGAATGAAGAGAGGAAG